TGATGGCACAGGAAACCACCACCACCACCACCACCACCATCACACCACCATCACACCACCATTTTTATAAGGGAGTTTTGGTGGTGTGGTCTGGAGAGACTCACGCTACTAGCTAAAAGATCACGCCTCTCTGGGGTTCAAGTTCATTATCTGCTCTGCTGAAGAAAGGTGGGTGATTTCCTCGTGAGTGATTTACAATTCAACATTACTTGCTGGAAGGCCAACCATGAGTCAGTGCCAACTTAACGGCAATGAGTTTGAGGGTTTAAAAAAAAAAACAAATTAGAAGTATAAAACTGGAGTCATTTTAATTAATTCAAGCTCAACTATTTGAAAGCTGAGGTAAAATGGTTCAAGTTCACATCTACCCCTGCAATTTGTAACAAGGAACTTACAAAGAAATTCATTTCTGCCACTTGCTGCCTTTGCTTTTCAACAAAAATCACGCTCATCTTTTTTCACTCATTTTTTGTTCCAACCAGACTGTAATGAGTTTTGAGGTTTTGTTGGTTTTTTTTTTTTTTTTTCATTTTTACCAAATTGTCTAAGGGTGCTTACTCTGCCGCTAAGGAGGAGCCCATTTGGTTGAGTTGGACTGCTAAAGATGGTTCACTGAATGATGCTTTACGGCCATCAGTGACTGTGTCCCTATAAACATTTATAGTTTAGGAGATTCTAGCAGGGAGTCCGGCTCTGTCTTATAGAGCCATTGTAAGTGCAATGGCAATGGCTTAGTTTGTTAACACTCTAAACTAATAAAGGTTAGTCTTTATTTTAAGGCTTTTCCAGTCCTAACCCAGGCTTTACTTATTACTGAGTAAAGAACATTTTACTGGGCCAATCATTCTTGGACGTGTCTTTAAAAAAAAAAAAGGCCAAGAATCTTCTAGTGAGCTAAAGATTTCCTCCAATAGTCAGAATCCTTATTTTCGTTTCCTGAGGAACAGCAGAGGGTCTTTTGTTTCACGCCACTTCAGCCTTGACTGCATGACTGGCTTAACAGAACCTCAGGGTCACTGAGGGGTGAGAGGTTGCTTCCGGACTGGTGCTAAATGGCAGTCCCATCCTCGGTTTGCGGCTAAAGATCTTGTGCTGGATTTGGCTATAATCCTTCTGGGAGTTCCCTCACTCCGAAATCATCTGGAATGACCTGACAGAAAGCATGACCTACTGGAGTGAAGGTTTGCGTCGTTTGGCCTGTGCCTTCATTTCGGTGGTTTGTAGTACATTAATGAGGTTATTGCTCTTCTGTCTTCTGATTGTTCCCAGGTGGATTTTTATATACTTGTATTTTACAGCTCTAATAAGGAGGCCTGTCTTCTCAGGTTGTGGCATCCTCCGCACAGAGCTGAGAGCTGGCTGGGACACCAGGTAGCTAAATGACTACTGAAGGAAGCCAATAACATTCTATGGGCTTGTTTTCATCAGATTCCCCTGATTGCCCAACACACACCGTTAGTTAAGGAGGGAGCTGAGCTACAGAGCTAGAAGCAATGAGGAGCAGTTGATTAGTGCTCCCAGAATCCTTCATTTCAACAGCCTCATACTCCAGCATTTTGAGTAAATATCCTGCATATGTATCACAGATTTAAAGAAAATACTCTCTTCAAAAGATGGACTTTTAATACAATAATTTAGTGTTCTTTTTATAAAAACCAATGGATCAGAAATGTAACACATTTACTAAATCTGGCATATTTATATATTGTATCTAAACAGATATTCATGCTGCATTATAATGTAATGGAAAAAACAAAACGATCTCACTCTGTCTGTTAAGTCATTGTGAGTCTTTGTACCATTGTAACAGTAGTGCTAATTATCAAGGAAAGACATGATAATTACGCAGAGCTTTTTTGCTAAAAGAAGGAATCTTTTTCAACACCCACGCTCTTCACAATTTCCTATGACCCTGTAACATTACTCTGGTATGGCCCAGAAATTTGTATTTTAGTCTAAATGTTGAGTCTTATTATTTCTCATTTCCACTCCTCACCTTCTTGCCCTCCTCCTTTTTCTTTCTTGTGAGTAAACTGTTTTTAGAGGGTTAAGGGAGAGGGGTAATGGTCCAAATGGGAAATATAAAACTAATGACCCTTCATGAAACATATTATGCTCCTCATTAAACTTACTCAGTTAAACGCATTCCATTAAATTAAAATAAATAGGATTTAAAATTTTACCCAGGAGTAGTAAACTACCTTAACTCTCAACTTTGCATTAGATCCATTTGAGGAATGGATTCCTCCAGTCCCCAATGCATCAGAGATTCTCAAGCCTCCAACAGACTTCTATTTCTTAGTGCTATAGAGACTTACAAACATATTTGTTTTAAATGCAACTCCCCACCCAGATCCTTTCTTCTCCACCAAGCATCCCAAATATCCTGATTTTGATGATTTGCACTTTGAAAAAGGCTCTCTATATGAGTGATGTAAAATGTGGTCAAGTTCACTTCTGTTTCCATCATCTCTGTTACTACTAAAATGTGGCAAAGTCAAATATGTGAAGAAAGTGTGATTGAGGTGTGTTAACAGGCAGATTTACAATGTCTGAGTTTACAAAGCCTTTTGGTCACCCAAAGAAGAACCGTGGAGCACCTGGGTTAGCTTAGATGGCCCAGAATATGTTTTTCAGAGCGTAATAATCTTTTGCATTTTCTGTGCAAGAAAATGAAGTTCCTGTTTTAAAGTATTGCTTTTTAAAGAATTGCAATGCTGGGAAAGACTTTCAAGTGAAACATCTTTGTTTTTGAGATGAGAAACGGTTAAGCCCAGTTAGTGAATTTCTCATGTGGTGTAACAGTGCAAACCAGGACTCAAATGCAAAACTGCTGACCCTTAACCCAGGGTTCCTGTGATGCCTCTCAAGAAGTCTGAATCTCAGATAGCCATCTGTCCAAGAAAATTAGTTTCCCACAGTAGAAGAGGTTGCAAATCAGCCTCTGGGTCATCTATGAGTTTGTATTCTCCTGAGAAAAGTCCTCAGAAGATGCATTTTTACTCTTTCAGAGTTTCAGATCCTTTAAGAAAATTTCTCTCTTCTTATTTAAGGACTGGAACAGTTCAAGTCTAAAGACAACTTGTAACTCAAATAAATTCTTTTGTTACTCTAAAACTTTTGTTTTGATGGCTTCCATAATGAGATGGAGTTTTGAATATTGAGTTGTTTTAGCATTTGTTAAATAAATGTGAATATACACATAATAAAGCATTTATGAGATCTGACAGCTGACCTTCACATTTATGTATGTTCGAGTATGTTTTTACATGTGCTGTGTACCAACATGTTGTTGAAACTGTCTCACAGCCAACCCTCCAGTGGGTTTTCAGAGGCAGTAAATGCACGGGAGGAGACTATGGATCTTTCTCCCACAGAGCAGCTGGTATATTCGAACCACATGTCTTTGGGTACACAGCATAATTCCTTACCTCTAACATAACAACAAGAAGCCACCAGAGCTCCCTTTTACATTTGAAAGTGAGCAAAATATGACCTGAAATACAGAGCTGGTAAAGGTCAGAAATGATTTTGAATTTTAAGGACCAGATACATGTAAAAGTCAAAGAAGAGTTAAGTGCATACAAAAGGTGATAGACAGTAATGTGAATCTGAAAGTATTTTAAGCATATACCACATCAGAGGTCTCCCTACCAATTTTGTTTCGCTGAAATTATTTGCTTGGTCTTGTTAGGCAAAAATAAATTGGTCAACTTCACACTTTTGAATAGCTTCCAAACAAAAGCAGAAAAAATAAGACCTAGTGATAGGAGCCTTTGTTGTGCTGGGCTGCTAACTAAAAGGTCGGTGGTTTGAACCCACTGGGTACTCTGCAAGAGGAAGAATAAAGATATACAGTGTTGGGTACCCACCTCGGACAGTGTGAGTATGAGTGGGGTTCCCCCTCAACCCACAGAACAGAACTAGTCTAAATAAGGGCAGGAATGACAAGGACTTTGTCAAACTGACCTTGAAACATTTATTATTTTATTTTTTAATTCTGGGAAAGCCGGCACAATCTAGGAAATTCTAAGTAGCTTGATAGGGGAGGAAAACAGGCAGATAAAAACAGTTCTCTTTATGTCTTTTTTTTTTTTTTGGGTTTAATATTAATTGCTCATGAAGGTTACCAAAGGACAAAAAAACAAACAAACAACCAAAAAAAAACCCAACCCAAAAAAACAACCAAAACCAAAAAACCCCAACACCAAACCAAAAAAAACAAAACACTTAAATCTGAAACAACCTAGAAAGGTTTAAAATTATCAACCAAAATTGTATGACTGTATCATTTGCACTAATGAATTTAAAAAAATGGTTTAAACAAAAATTTATTTCTTTCTTCTAAGCACACTTAAAGTTTTAAATCTCATTTATGTTGATTAAACATTTGATCTAATACTGAAAATATATTTGTCATTAGGTTTCTGATCCCATGCATCATTAGCAGTTTTCACTGTGATAGAATTTTTGGAAAAACACTTCTAGTAGAACAATTGTCTTGACTCTTCCCACAGTACTATAGTAGGAATACTGAATTAGGAGAAAGTGAATATATGAAAGGTAAGCTTTGAGTGGGCAGATATTGAAATGATTTTTTGCCTTTGCCTATTTTGGAAAACTATTATCTATTTTTTTTTAAGAAAATCATCCAAGGCAATTTACACCCATCCCCTGGGCAGAGTTGTCACATAGGTGCCACACTGCTCAACAGTGGGCATTCACGTTGGATGGCTTCATCTAACACTGGCAGGTGACACTGGCAAGTTATCTGACGCTGGCAGTGGATTTTCCTCAAGGACCATATTCTACTGTAGGATCACTCAAACTTGCATTGTGAGGGAGAGTGTAAGGGCTGGAGTGGGCTGAAACCCTGATCTACGTCTAGGGATATAAATGTCATGCACGTAGGAATATGTGTGCGTGTGGGCACAGTTGGGCAGAGCACTATTCACGAGGTGGCTCTGCTCGCGCGGGGAGCAGCAGGCGCGCCCTCTCACCTCCACGATGTCTGAATTTGTCCGGCTCTCGTGCGGCTCGTTGTACTCCGTGTACTTGAGCAGCACCTTGTCCATGTCGGTGCTGGCGTACTGGAACAGCTTGTTGGTGCTGTTGAAGATGATCAATGCAATCTCGCAGTCACACAGCACGCTCAGCTCATACGCCTTCTTCATCAATCCAAATTTCCTCTTTGTAAATGTCACCTAGAAAAAACAAAGCAGGCACATTTTTCCCCCCTTAAATGATAAAAAAAAATTCACACATGCAACTTTTACAGTCCTCCCCCCCAAACCCCCCACCCCCATAAAACAATGCCTTGTCGTTGTCAAGGGCCCTTGGGCACTAACACATTTGGAAGGAGAGCAAATAAATCTAAAACTAATTTATCCGCAGAATTTGAAAATGTGTGATTTCTAGCTTGTTGCTGAATGTGAAACTGTAAATGGAAGATTTAATGTAGGGCATTTTAATTAAGATTATCAGGAACCTGTTCATGTTTCTTTTAGCAATTTTAGATTAAAAATATAATCATTTCAGCATGGTTAACAGCTTTGTCAGTTATGAGTTTGGAACTTCTTGGGGTTGTTTTTTGGTTTGTTTTTTTTTTTTTTTTACCACTTGAGAACTGGACATAGTGTTATGAACTTAACATTTCAAGTTTGTGTTCAAAAAGAATCTGAAAATTGTTTAGTCTTAGGCCATTTAATTGAAAACACTTGAAGGGATATTACTGTGCTCTCAGACAATGTTGTGTTCTGTTTTCTAGAGATCCAGCAGGGTGTTGGGAAGTCCTTTAGTCATAATACAGGAGGGTTTTGGCTTCATTCTTCGGTGTATCTTTTGTTCTTGCTCAGGTCCCAAACCGTATTGTTAATGTTGACCTTTCCCTCATCTAATCTAATCTGTTACCAGGTCCCATAATTCCTTCCTCAAACAAAATGTTTCTCTGGTTCACACTTTATTTCTCAGGCAGCTCTATCCTTCAAGACCCTATCACTTCATTCTTGGGCAGTTTAGATTCTTACTGTCCTAGCTGAGTTCCCTCTTTAGTACACCCCAAACTTCAAAGCGTCACTCTTCCTATCTCCTTTCTTCTAATGAGCAGTGTAGAGCAATTCCATCTCTCTAGTTTTGAACATTTCCTACCCACTGAGTCCTACCAATGCAACAACGTATTTCTTTACTTCTCATTTCAAACCTCTTGGTAAAACTCCTGGCTGCTGCTCAACCACCAAAGTCATGACCATTTTTTTTTAAATTTAGGTTGTTTATTTTTCATTTAAATGAACATCTACAGAGATTTTGGAATTCCATTCATTCATTGTTGCACCCTTCCCCCTGCACAAACCTCTCCCCCCCCCGTTTGCTCCTCTCCTTGAAAAGCAAATTTTTAATTATAAAGTCTTAACAAAAATCCCTTATTCCCCCATAGGGTTGGCTTCGTTGATTTCTTCTTCTTCTTCTTTTTTTTTTTTGGTAGAATATTACCCTTATAAAATAAGAAAAAAGTTCCAATACATTTGGAAAATGAGTCACAATAATATACCGAAGGCTGAGAAATCTTCTAACGTTAAACGTGCTTCCAAAAACGCACTGTTTATTTGTTTTCAAAAGCAGTTACAGTAGTTCTCCAGAAATATGTTTTGGAGGTGCACATTTTTGGTAAATACTGACTAATTTAGCTATTATTCTCAATAATAACCAATTTCCCCCCCCCCTTTTACCTTCAAATCTGATGCACCGTGTAGAGAGGCTGGCTCAGTGTTATCTGCCACCTCTCTGTGCTTAATTCCTGAATGGAGATTCCCACTCCTTTTCTATTATTCTCTAGGCACTCAACAAGTTTCCTTAAATCCTGTGACTAGCCTAATGTCTTCTTGTTACCTGCGACTTACAGTAATCCTATGTAGAATAGCTCTGAAGCCAGCCCTGTCCTGAGCACCTCACTGATTCCACCACACCTCCCCCCATTGCCCCAGTTACTGCATCAATCCATCTCATCTGGGGTCTTCCTCTCCTGGGCTGTCCCTCCACCCTTTTGAGCATGATGTCCTTCTCCAAGGACTAGTCTCTCCTGGCCACATGCCCAAAGTATGTGAAATGGAGTTTCAAAATCCTAGCCTCCAAGGAGAAACTTGGTTTCACTCTCTCTAATACAGACCTATTTGTTTTCTTGGCACTCCATGGTATATTCAAGACTCTTCTCCAGCACCACAACTCAAAGGCATCAATTCTTCTTCTATTATCTTTAGTCACTGTCCAGCTCTCTGATGCATAGCAAATAATTTCAAAGACCATGGTCTGGATCAGGCACACCTTAGTCTCTTGATTGACATAATTGCTTCTCAATACTCTAGAGTGGTGCCTGAGAGCAGATTTTCCCAATGCAATCCGTTTTACTTCCTGATTGCTGGTGCCAAGAGTTTTGACTATGGAGCTGAGCAAGTTTTAACTGATAACAATTTCTCTATCAATCATGGTGCTGCCAATTGGCCCAGTGGTGAAATTCTCTGACTTCCTGATGTAGAGCTTCAATCTATGTTTGGAGATTACCGTCCTTGAACTTCTGCAGCAAGTGCTTCAGGTGCTCTACACTTTCAGCAAGCAGGGTTGTTGTCATCTGCTTAAGATAAGTTGCTGATGAGCCTTCATCCAATCTTGATCCACATTCCTCCTCATAAAGCCCTGCTTCCCAAATGATCTGTTCTGCACATAGACTGAAAAACTATGGAGACAAGGTGCATCACTGATGCACTCTTTTCCTGGTTTTGAACCATGCAGTGTTTCCCTGCTTTGTTCTGAGAATTGCTTCCTGGTCTGAGTATAAGTTTTGCATAAGCACAATCAAGTGTCCCAACCTCCTTAAGCTTAACCAAAAGTTGTTATGATCCACACAGTCAAATGCTTTTGTATAGTCAATGAAACACAGATAGATATTCCTCTGGTACTCTCTGCTTTCAGCCAAGATCCATCTGACACTGGCAAGTACGTCTCTAGTGCCACGACCACCCTAGACTTATGATCTTTACCCTTTTAATTAGCTCTCCCTCTCAGATTTCCCATCTCACCGTAAACTCAGTTCCCTAAACTACAAACTTCAGAATGAACTTTCAATCCACAGCATCCTACAAGGCGAGATAAAAGTGCTGAAAGAAATGATGAGCTGTTGTTAGGTGACTCAGCGACTCTCCGAACAGCAGATCTGAACCCTGCCCTATCCTGTCCCATCCTCACAATTTCTGTCATGCCCAGGCTCACTGTGGTAACTACAGCATCAGTACATCTCTGTGAGGGCCTTCTCCTCTTTCGCTGACTATCCCAACACCATGTTTCTCCTCAAGGATTGGTTCCTCCTGAAAATATGCCCCAAGTAAGTGAGATGAAGTGCCTAGCAGAGAGAACAATCTTTCTTCTATGCTTCTGCTAGATATTCTTTTACCTATTATTTTTCACTTTCCCTTAATAGCATTTATAGCATTTATGAATTATATTTCTTTCTGTAATCATTTGTTTCATACATGTTCCATGACAGTGCATGCTCCATGAGGGCAACGCGAGATTTTATTTTTGCTCACTGTGGCATTTTATTTTGCCCTAGTGCCTACAACAGAGCACACATGTGACACAAAGGAAAAATCTGTGGTATAAACGACTGAAAAAGAATTAAGGGAAGTGTTTAGAAACACAAAACCTCTTCTCTCCACACACACATACACTAACATATTTTTAAAAGAGGAGTATTTTGTTTAATAACGATTATATTGTTTTAGAATTCATTTGAGTTGAAGGTAGCATGGCAGAGAGATTCAGAGAACATGGGGCTAGGATGCTAAATCAGCTACAAACTCTCTGAACTTGACTGTCATCGAGTCAGAACCAATTCCTGGCTGACCTTGTAGTGGGTCTCTGACACTGTAAATTGGACCGGAGGAAACTGTTGATTTTCTTCCTACAGAGCTGCTGGTGGATAGGATTGCCGGCAAGGCAGAATCTCTGGGTTAGCAGTGTACCAGAGTAAACAAACAAAACCCCCAAATTCACTGCTACGGAGTGGATTTCCGCTAACAGTGAGCCTACAGGATGGAGCACAACAGTACCAAAGCATTTCCAAAGCAGGAATCCTTATGGAAGCAGATGGCGTCAGCTTTCTTTCATGAAAAACCCGGTGCATCTACTAAAGAGTCAGTTCACAGCTGAGTGCTCAACCACTGTACCACCACAATCACTTGGGAGAAGCTCATTTTACCTCTCTGAGTTCGCGTTTTCATCTTTTAAATGGAGTCTTCTTTTGGCACTGCCCTAAAGATGATCCGACCCACCAGCTGAGGGAGAAAGATGCTCAATCTGCTGTATGATTTGCACCCTCTGGAAAACCACGGGAAGGTCATCTCTGGGTTGATGGAGACTAGACAGCAATGAGTTTGAGTTTGTTTTGTTGGTTTTTAAAAAATGTCAAGCACCGTGCTTAATGTTAAAAAAATGCTCAATAAATCATAGTTCCTTTTCTGAGTTGATTTAGAGAAAAAAAAAACCCCTAACAAAATGTATCTGCCTTGCTGTCCTGAAAAGTCTATTGATAAATGGTACCTGGGTTGAACTGCTGTTCACAGAAAAAAAAATGCAGAGCTGGAGGATCTCCAGTGACTATGGGGAAAATGGAAAAACCGAAGCATTTAAATAGTTACCAGCTTAAATCAGCTAGTCAGTATATAATAAAATATGTTATTTACATTTCTACATGTTCTTGATGTCACATGTTGTTGCACAGATTATGACCCATAGCGACCCTATGAAAAATGGCTCTGAAACAAGCCCTATCCTGAATTAACCTCACCATTTCGGACACACCTGCTCCCATTGCCACAATCACTATGTCAATCCGTCTCATCCAGGGTCTTCCTTGAGTCTATGCAGAATTTACATATCTACATAGGTAATTTTTACTTGTAATAAATGCGAATGTCTCATCCCTGATTTATGCTTAGTGTTGTTATGTGCTATCGAGTCGCTTGCGACTCATAGCAACCCTATGTACTAGAGCCTTAAACCCTGCTCTATGCTGTGCCAAGCTCATTGTCTCTGACACACCTACTCCCATTATCCCAATCACTGAATCAATCCCTCTCAATAAAAGTCTTCCTTTCCTGCACTGTTCCTCCACTCTCCCAAAGATGATGTCCCTCTACAAGGACTGGTCCCTCCT